AACATAAAACTTTATGGCTTTGGAGCCACTGACACTCAGAGAAGCTGAGACAGGACGATGGTTCTTTTACATTGTGAGCCTTGTTTTTTTCCCTGTTTTGGGAATCTAACAAGAATTTTAACCAGGGCAGAAATGCAGGTCATTAGCGCTTCAGAATATGAGTTACACCAAAGGCAGCATATGTACACCCTTTCCTTGTTCTCCCCAAAGCCTGAGGCTTCTCTGACTACCTGTGACACACCTTTTTACTCTTCAGACCATGAGACGGACTTCACCCATACATTGACCAGAGATATCCACCAGTAAAACACACTGGAGGAAAATCAAGTAATTTTGTTATATAACCTTTCCGTTAGACACTATTTCACATACTGTTTGGCTTTAATTTTCTTTTAATAAATTAAGAAAATGAATTTTTGTGTACTTTTGTACCATTTTCTCCTGTGCAGTTTTCACTGGGTAAGAATAAAAGTTTCCTTAGCTATTTTTATCTTCAGGAAGGCAAAAAGTTATGTGTGCTCTTTTGCTCTTTCATAATTATGTTAAGTTATAGCCAGGATATGGAAATAGCCTACTTGCCCCAAAACAGATGAATGGATTAAGAAGGTGTAATACACCTTCACACACACACACACACACACACACACACACACACACACACACTGGAATACTACTCAGCTATCAAAAAATAAACTGTTGCTATTTTGGATGGAGCTGGAAGGGACTCAGCAAAATTAGGCAGAAAGAGAAATACAAATAGTGGATGGTACCTGATATATCTGATAAAGGGTCAGATGAAGCCAAATAAAAATCTGACTGTGTAAGGGGACAAGTAGAGGGGCTTGGGGAGAAAGGGAGGGATGAGAACCAAGATGGGGGCACAGGGTCAGTGGTGGTGGACCATGGGTTCTTTGGTGGTGGGTGCATCATGGCAACATTCTGGAAGTGGGGGATCCTACATTACTATTACATATAGAACAATGTAAACCAGTATTAACACAGTCAAAAGTATTTAAAAAGACAAGAAATAAAATGATGTAAGTTCAATTACTGAATACTTTGAGAAGGATTGTACTCCAAACCAAAATTCTTAAGAAGTAGCAAAGAAACTCTCCTACACTGCTGGTGGGAGTGCAAACTGGTCCAACCACTATGGAAAGGTTTGTGAAGGTTCCGCAAACTACTAAAAATGTAGCTACAATACGACCCAGCAATTCTGCTCCCAAGAATCTACCCAAAGGACACAAAAACATTGATTTAAAAAGACACCTGCACCCCTATGTTTATTGTAGCACTGTTAACAATAGGTAAGCTATGGAAACAACCCAAATGTCCAAAAATAGATGAATGGATCAAGAAGACGTGGTACATATACACAATGGAATACTATTCAGCAATCAAAAAAGATAAACTCATGCAATTCCCAGCAACATGGATGGAGCTAGAAGGGATCATTCTCAGTGAAATAAGCCAGAAGGAAAAGAAAAATATAGAATGGTTTCACTTACAGGAGGAATATAGGGGAACCAAATAAGGGCTCAGGAAAAAACTAAAAAAACAACAAAATTAGCAGGTAACCACAAATCAAATACATTCTGTGACGGAGTGGGTGGGAGAGGGATAAAAACAGGGGAGAGAAGAGCACAAGGAACTATGGTGATGGTCCACGGGTGAATTGGTGGTGGGAATTTCATGGGGAATAGACAATGATGTAAAATAGATAAATAATAATAAAAAATGACACCAAAACCAAAAGTAGCTTATCACCGCATAGTTGATGTATCTAGAGAAAAGCTGCTCATATCAAATTTGTCAACAGTAAAGCCAACCAGGATTTGAATCCCTTTAGTGCTGAGAAAGAGAGAATACTGTTCCTTGAAGAAATCAAAGGTTCCTGTTAGGTGACACTATGCTTATCTGCCCTTTCATTTCCTTATGCCCACCACAATCCCCATGTTCAAGTTGAAGTACAACCATCAACTCCTCCTTAATCTCTCACCTCATGATAAATTTATGAGCAGGTTCACTAAAAAAATTCAACCAAAGTATAGGTATGACTTTGGAAAAGAAGTCCCATGAGAACGAGCAGGAGCAATGGTCAAACGAAGTAGGGCTGGAATCATCCTGTAGCCCCTGATGATTTCCCCTCCTTGGAACAGCCACACAAGGACAAGCTTGGGGACAGAATGGTCCGTGCTCCCGGAATGCTTTTTACAGGAGGAATTTTAAATACAATATGCACGGTTAGGCGATATTTAGTGTTTAGGGCAGCTTTTTAATATGCAGATACAATTTAACACACCAACTATGGACTTTTTATTATGAAAAAATGCACTTTATGTATTTGTGGGATTTAAGTTAATGGTCTCACTGCACCTTCTGTTAGAATTTTCATAAATATACTTATGCTTTGACTCTACTTAAAATGTAATTAAAGTGTTTCCTCTGACTACCTTAGCTCATATATACTGAGAAAAGGCATCAAACCTGGGAACCACTCTGAAAGAATAATAAGTCTCTGAAACAATAAAAATGAAGCCAGGCAAGCTCCAGTGAATACCAATGACTTCTCCACTTCAAGACTGCGCTCTCCATGGACACAGAGCAGAAGGAAATTGAACATCCCACACAGTCATTTTTTTCTGAATAGGAAACATGTTTTTGTGATTCAATAACCCCCTCTCTCACCCCTCCTACCACCATCATTTTCCACAGGATATAATTATACATCTCAGTTGCCCACCTCAAGAGAACGTTACACCAAAATGATGCAGTCTGTTAAAAATGCCACAGCTCCCAGATATTAAAGAAAGGAGAAAAAAATCCTATTCAACAGAAAGTGTGCCAGAGAGAAAGGGGTGCAGGTCAAGGCTGTACATAATGCACAGTGTGTTTTCAGGTAGTGTAGGGTCAAGTTTTTTCAGAAGCTTCTGAAATCGAATTTTTCCTCCCTTTCTCATATGAATAAAACTGTGCACGTAAAGTGACTAAAATCATCACCCTGAAAGAAGGAAGATGAGCTCACTGGAGCATGCAGTCTCTGAACTTTCTTTTTTTTCTGCTTATACTTCTCTCCTGGTTCTTTTAAGCGCTGCATTTTATTAGGACCATATATAAACTATGGCTATCATACAGAAGGAACTGAAGGCACCTACAATTGCTCACTGGCCACAGAGGGGAGTGCCCATGGGCAGTGGCCCTAGAAGTCCAGGCCTGTGGTCACCTGTCACTGTCACTACCCAGTTTTCCGGGTTGAGGTGGCCAAAGGGAGTAAGTGCGGCTTGCAGTGCAGGAGGGGTGAGGACTGAGTAAGATAAGAAGCTGATACTAGAACTGTGTTATGTTTAAACACATTTAAAACTAAATGTAAACACTCACGGATATTTTTAAAGAAGTTGCTAATCCAGCTCAGTAAATTCGAATGGCCATATTCTACTGCAACTCTATCCAATTCCAAAGTTTGCAAAATTTTTCCATTTGGCAGGACGCAGGTGGGTAATGATCTTGGCATAGTTGCCACATCGCCTTCCTTTACCTAACATCTTTTTCTCTTTTGACAATGGAATTGCAGCCTAAAAAAGTCATGTCATGTTTTGGTGCCCGGAAGCAGAACCCATGATGTTTGATTGAGCTTTAGAACTTATTTTGTATTCTGCTGAATGTACCCTGAATGGGTGACTTTGCACAGCATTGTCCTATATGAATAATATCTGCTTATGGGATATTTGAAGCTCTATCAGTTAAGTGTTTTTATTCCTACTGCATAGGTATTGAAGTTTAGAATCAAAGGAATTTAGTGGTTTCCTGAGAGCATACAGTCAGTGAGCAGAAGAACTCACAGGCTCACAGTGAGAATATGCTCTAAAGTCAATATTCTAAACTCAATATTCCTGAAGCACTGGCCGCAAAGCTGGCAGAGAACCTGTGTCTGTGCTCAGTGCAATGCATTGTACGGGTGGCGTTCTGTTCTCCTGGCCACGGTCATAAGCCACCAAGCAGCTCTGGTTTCCACTTCTTATAGTGTAAGGCTGTTTCACCCCCCTCAGACCTGTTACCACATGCACAGTGATTTTCCTGGGGATGGGAAGCCACGTGCACCTGGAGGGACTCTCCATCTACCTGCGTTTCTTTAGATTTGCTCTTTTTCTTTCCACCTTCAGAACTACAGTGGTAGAAGGTTCCTGCTAATGATGGAACATATCTCTCAAGTGTATCGAAGTGGAAAAAAAATTGAAAAACACTGATCAAGTGGCAAGAGAGAAAAAATACTCTTGAACCGAGAGACAGTGATTTAAAAAAAGGTAACTGTGGATCACTGGCTGTCGATGAACATTCCACAGACAATGGAATGGCAGTACAGATTGGTGTACAATAAGGTGGCTTGAAAAAGGGGCTATTTTTATATAATTGGATGAATTTCGGCTGAGGATTAATTTTAAGAGGCAGAGGGTGGCAGTTCAGGGATATTTAACCCTCTCTTGGCTGCGTTCTTCTGTTCTTTGTTCACTGGCACAGAGCTTAGTGGCTAAGGTCCCCCATTCTCACAGTGCACAGTGCCCTTCCTTACTCTTCTCAGGCCTGGAAGCCTGTCTTCTGACACATGGAAGACGTCCTCACCCCTGATGTTGCAGAGGTGACTTAGAGTTCTGAGTGTCCCTGGCGCTTGTCTCTGAAGGGGGGATTTCAGGGCCCATCCCAATCCCCTGCTTGAAACTCAAAAGCTGAATCTGCAGACTCCTCTAGATGGTTCTAATAAGATCTCTGCTACTTATTCTGCAATATTCTGGGGTAGTGTGGTGCTGGACTGCAAGACATTCACTACAGTGTTTATATCATTATCTAAAATTTGGTTTACTTATGGGCCGAACATTGCCTATCTCTTGATCATAATGCACATCTGAGATCAGTTAATTTTGTGAAGATTCTGGAACTTGAGCCAGGCTCTGTTCTCATTGGATTACCCTGGCGATTCCAAGGAGGACACCATAATTGGAGGGATGTCAGAATAGTGATGTAAATGAGCAGCTTGTCATAGGTAATGCCAAAGAGGACTACTCTGTTTTAAAGGTAAGTGAAAGTATCTGATTCAATTGCTTTGCAGTTTCTCTAAATCACTCTGGGTTTAAGTCCTACCTCCAGGATTGCCACCCACATTTCAGAGAGATAAAAAATTTCATTTCCCCTCAGATGCAGATATTGCCAAGGTTTGAGATGTTAATACCACTCGAAAGCTGTAATTTCCTCCACCCCTGCACCTGCCTTGAATGAGTGATTTGCCAGTGAGCCTGTGTTAAAGGTGCCCAGATCTTTAGAGATAAGCAGGAGTCCCTCCTCGGATAAAGGCATCCCTGAAATGTCCTGGGAACAAATGCACACTTTTTCAGAAATATAGCTGCTCCTTTCTTTCTCCAACGAGTCAGAAAAAATTGAGTTCCTATTTATCTCTTGCCTGCATTATTCAGTAGCTCCCTGTCTGGTCTCTTCTCCATCTTCCGGTTTATACACTTTTCCCAGAGTGAGCTTTTAAAAACACACCTGGGCATCTGCCACTTTACTTTTTGAAAACCTGACAAATCTTCCTATTAGCAACATGGTGGTCACAGGGATTGAGAGACTCAACATAGCGATACACCGAGGACACAGCAGGTGCCCAACCAGAGCTGGCGATTGCTGTTCTTGTTCTAATATTAAAGTCAGATTTTGACGATAATAAATCCTTCCTGGCTTTGCTGCAATTTTTTGTTCCTGTCTCCAAGACAATAATACTTTCCAATTTTTTTCCTCTAATGGTTCTATATGTTTCCCCCACTGATTTTATACAGTTTTTAGAAATGGGGTGAGAGCTGTTTGTTGTTGCTCCTCTCTGAATGCGAGCACATCCTTTCCAGGGGAGCGCTTTTACAATGTCCTCACCTCAGAAATCACAGTACGTAAGCACCATCAAATGTCAAGGAAAATCTAAGGATGCCTTTTTAGACATGACAGGCTTGGAAATGAATAGGTATAGAGATCTAGTAGAAAAAGGAATTTTAATGACAGAGCTGTGACTCTCTTTTTTGACATCTATTAATATACAAAACCTATCAGCACAATTTCCATGCTTTCCCCATAGTACCTAAGTCATGGTGATTAATGATAAAAATTAAAGAATTATTTCAAAAATTTGGAAATCAAGATTAAGAAATGCCTTTTCAAACAGTTAAGTGAAAAAAATAATTGCATCTCAATTCTGTCAGAAAGTTCAATTTATACCCTTTAAAGCAAACATTTTTATTGAAATTATAATTCATTATGAAATTAGAGTCACAGGTGTGTCTGCTATTGACTAATGTTTAGCCAAACATCAGTTCTTACTGAAGATTGTGGACACCTTCACTTTAAAGGTTCACAGACCCCTTTTTTAGAGGAAGGTTTTGGCTTTTTAGCCTTAGTCTATGGGAATACGGAGAAAGGTCTAAATGAAGGCCAAACAATAAGTCTGCAGCAGGCACAGAGCAGAAACCCTGACATGGTGGAAGTTTCTACCTGTGACTGATCAGCCCTCCAGAGAGATGATCCTGTGGGGAATCCTGAAAGAAATTCACCTCTAAAAACATCAAATATTCATGGTTAAAAACAGTGTACCAGGGCCTTCCTGGTGGCACAAGAGGTTAAGACACAACCTATGAAGCTGTCGGCGGCCTTTGCAGCACTGGTTCCATCCCTGGCTGGGGAGCTGACCCACGTGGCACAGCAGACCATTCTTGACTTGCCCACTGCTCCCCTCAGCAGTGTGTTTCATTCAGTCTGCCTGTTCTGTTCCCTACTCTGTCTCTGGTGAATTCTCTCACCCCACCCCACCCCCACATCTCTGGCCTATACCCCAGTTCTTGCATGCATGCATAAATAAATCTTTTTTAAAAAACCCAAAAAACATCATACCAAATACTTGGGTGGATGCCGTATGCATCTGAATGCACTTCCCACAAATAGACTGTTATCTTATTTAGTTGTACGCAGGTGAAGGGGAAGAGAAAACAAGAATCCTGAAGGCAAGTGAAGAAAACAGGATTCAGCAGCAGCTCTTTCCAGATTTTAGTCACTTTTGCACCACCATCTCTTTCCGTCTCCCCTTACTTAAATTTCTTGAAGGATTTAAATTTTACTGTATATTGAAATACATTCATTTGGAAACGAAACCTCACACCATTACAGTAAATGGAGAGTCAAATTATCACAGGTGAAATTAATGGAAAAGTAGAAATAATGAAAATGAAGTAACGATAATAATCCCTGAATGGCAGTACTGCTCTTGGACTTTTCTAAGCTTCTGGTCTCAGCTTTGTTAGTGAGAGATTGAAAAGACACTCTAGCCCCAAACCAAGGATCACTGATGAATCAAAAAGAATGAAAGAGCTAACTGGAAAGGCAACTGCTTTCACACATCGCAACTCAGTACTGTTTATTCCTTGAGAGTGGACCTCCTGAAAAACCACCTAGGACAACATCAATTGTTTGCATCTCACACTAGGGGACAAATCTGAATTCAGGTCACCATTAACGCTGGCTTACAGCACTGTGGGTAGAACAGGAAGGAACGGAGGACCTAGGACCAGAGGACAGGGTTTCAAGCTCAGTTCTGCCTGATTTATAAGTTGTGTGGTCACAGATCAGTCCCTCAGTTTGGGTTTTAATTTATATCACAGGAATACTGTAGTAATTTAATTACTTAACAGAATTGCTTTCAGTATTAAAACCAATAAATGTTAATGTAAAGACCATGGAAAGAGGTATATAAAGTACCATTCAACTGTTCTTAGCACGATGCAATAACTCAAGAACTTCTGTGGAAATTCTCAGGGTATTTACTAGCAATCTCAGGTCCCACAGGGGTGGGTGGAGCTGACCCTCTGTTCAGCCTCAATATCCACCATCCACCTGGGATACAGGAAGAGTACATGAATAGTGGTAAATAGCTGACATTTATAAATCAGAAGATTCCTAGATTGTAGTTTTATTTGAGGCTAATATTTTTGCAGCCTGGTCTTTAGAAAGGTTTTTTTGTTTTTTAAATTACTGTCATGATTGAAAGAGCAATACATTTTACTTGGATGCCACTGTATTCAGAATTTAAAAAATGCCTCTCACATCCTGTATTATGGATTTTGTTGTATTCTAGAACCAAAATCTGCTGAAAGGATAACAATTAGTTTGAGTGAATCAAGGTCAAATGCTAAGAGGAAGTAGTCAGAAGTTGAATTTAGAATCTGCTGATGCTTTAAAAAATGAAGAGTTGGCCCCAATTCAGGGCACCAGATATTAGATTAAAACCTTGGAGGCACATGGTTCAGGTTTTTATTTAGAACTACAAGGACTGGGATGAAACTAAAACTAAGATGCCTCATGCCATTAGCAGTACTGCCTTAAAACATTTTAGAGAAGGCAAGAGAATTGAAAGTAAATTAAAGTAAACTCAAGGGTCAGTTTTTTTTTTTTTTAAGATTTATTTATTTATTTATACAAGCACTGGGTACAGTCAGAAGCGTGGGAGGGTGAGAAAATTCACCAGGGCCAGAGCAGGGAGCAGAGCAGGCATAAGTACCGAAGTACACTGCTGAGGGGAGCAGCGGGCGGCAGGAGAGGTCTGCATGCCATGCGGGACCCTCCTTCAGTGGCTGGGGAGCAGCTGGGGATCGAACCGGCACTGCAGAGGCTGCGGGCAGCTTCGCAACCCAGCGCTCAACCACTGCGCCACTAGGGAGGCCCTCAAGGGTCAGTTTTGAAATGCAAACAGCAAAGATCTAATGCCCCTGGAGGGCCTATGTTACCACCTCCATCATAAAGCAGAATGACTCTCACATGATATCCAGAGACTGTTGCTGCAGCAAAGAAAATTCCTGAAAGGAGATTAGAATTTCTGTAAAGTGTAATAACAGAAAAATGTTGGCTCAAAGATTTTGATTATATAAGAATTCTTTTAATGAAATTACAAAAAAACTGTCAATTCAATAGTATTAGTAAAAGGCACGGATGACATTAATAATAGATGCCATTAATAATATCACAAGAGGGCCTCCCTGGTGGTGCAGGCGGTTGAGCGCCGCACTGTGGAGCTGTCCGCAGCCTCTGCAGTGCAGGTTCGATCCCAGCTGGCTAGGGAGAAACCCACTGCCTCGCCAGCTGCTCCCCTCAGCAGCATATTTCATCAGTCTGCCTGTTCTGTTCCCCGCTCTGTCTCTGTGAATCCTCTTACCCTCCCGCGCATCTGGCATGTACCCTGGTTCTTGTATAAATAAATAAATCTTTAGAAAAAATAATATCACAAGATAATAAGTGCAATGTACTTATTACATTCTAAGTATCTTCTTGAGAATACCTTTACCTTCAGTGTTTCATAGATACTACTGCCCATAATACTACCTGTTTTTAGATATCACTACCTATAATAATATCTATGCTAGTCTACAAGATTTCATAGATGACTCTTTATAGACAGGAATATATTATGTTCTTGTTACTGCTTTAATTTATGCTCATGAAAAGACACTCCAAAACACACACATTAACCTTATTAAGTATTATCATCACCAGTAAGTTCAGGAATCAAGCTGGTAACCAATAACCACCCACTAAGTTTGAAATGAATTTTAAATTGTACCTTATATTTTTAAAACCATTTTATTTTGAAATATTTATGGAACCACAAGACATTGCAAATATAGTATAGGGAAGTCCCCTGTAATGCTTAGCTCTCCTGGTGATTAGAAATGGTGACTGTGTAACACTAGAGTAGTATCAAGCCAGGAAACAGGAATCTATACAATGCACACGCATAGTTCCATGCCATTTTATGGTGGGGGAGGAAAGTAAGTTTTTATTCCCCTGGGTTGTATGGTAAATGCATGCTTAATATTTTAAGAAAACTGCCAAACTTTTCAAGAGTGGCTGTACCATTTTACATTCTTACCAGAAATTTATGAGAGATCCAGTTTCTCTACATTCTCCCCCTACATTTCTCTGTATCTTCCTCGTATCTTGCATAGACCTTATATTTTATTTCAGCTGTTCTAGTATGTGTAGTGATATCT